GCAGGAATGGGAAACATACACATGTACTTAAACTCACAGCTGAGCTTGGTCACAAGAACCTATAGATTTCCTCATAAACTGGTAGATTCTGGGGCCTGTCGAGGACTTGCAGGCTATCTCTGTTAAAAATACCACTATTAAAACAAAAAGGAGGGAGATTTCCTTGCTTATAGTGGACTTCAGCCATCATTCAAGAGTGCCTTAGGAAACATATTCCTAGGGCTCATAAAAATACTTTGTGAGAAACAAATATTGGGAAGAAGCAAAGATCACTAAGGGGGGCAATATTCTCAAAAACACTTCTCCAGCAGAGAATTCCCCCAGAAGTTTTTACAAAGCACCTAACCCAAGTCCCCATTACGTGTCTCACAGTTTAACTGAATGCTGTGGTCATATAAATACTCTCAGGATATTTTCAGCAACAGAAGGATAACCAAATTTGACACCTGCACAGCATACATGTTTGCTTGCTAAGTCACGATGCCTCCTCCTCATTGGTTGAAAACAATGTATTTGCTGATGAGGGAGTGCACATCAGTAGATTCCCAGGTCGCTCAGGCCTGTACTCTGCAAGCTAACCAGCTTTCTCTTAGTTTAAGGTGGAAATAATTATGAGATTTTCTTGCTACACTACGAACATTGCTGATTTTAGGATTCCCCTTGAAAGGATTTCTACTCAAACAAGGTTAAGAGCAACTGTGCTATGAGCAACAATCCCCCTTCCCTAGTCTTTTACTCAATTCTAATAAAAATAAATAAATAATTACCTTCTCCATGCAGCAAAGACGGATCCAGCAATTCCATCATGTATTCAATTTCAGTATCCAGCTCCAGCATGTCACACTGTGCTAGTACATATGTCAACACAGGCAAGAAGTCATCAGCTCCATACAGCCTCCCTGCGTTGAAGTGAACACAGAGAGTGACAGACAAACCACAGCCTTCTACCAGTTTCAGTATCTGAAAGGAAAGCATTATTTTGCTGCCTTCACTGACCAGTACCTTTGTATTATTCTAGAGCCTCTTGTTATCAGTGTGCAGCAAAGAGAACATCATCTGATATTTGCTGGACAGGAGATTAACACCAGCTTCATCCTGTACTTCTAATAAGCACAAATCTGATGATGCACACCTTGAGGCACGTGAGGGAGTTAAAAGACTGGATTCACCTTGGCATCAGCTCAACTGGTGAACTCACAAAAGGCTGCCATGCCAGTCTGGCATGACCTCCACCTGCACTTCTATCACTGGCTAAGAGATGATGAGTAGGCGTTTTCTTTATACATGCAGGGTCAACATCCACTTTCTGGAAGGATCCAGCCACAAATACCAGTTTCTGAGTCTGAATCCCAGCAGAAAAGCCTGAATATAGAAGCCTATTAGATCTGACATGAAAACAGCTCATTTCCTTGATAGAGCATAGTTAAAAATACCAGTGAGTAAAGCCTCACATCATTCCAGTGAAGCATCATCAGCAGTGGCAGCACGCAGCTGACACAGAGACTACGCTGTACACAGTGAGGTCTGTCTATGCTCCTATCGCTTTTATTGCATTTAAACTGTGTTTAGAAAGTACTATGTGGCCAAAGCTCTGGGTCTGGCCAAACTGCATTCATTGCAGAACTGGTGTGATGGTCACTTAAAACCACCAAGAGCAGGAGCCAACTTAAACTTGAAACTCCAGATGCCTGAACAGCTGTTATATAAGGTTACACCAGCTGAGGCATACCCTCCAGGTATTACACTATTATCTGGCTGAGAATACATGACAAAGCAGATACTCAAACAGCTGCTGGCTCAATGCCATGTTTGCAAACTTCACATGACAAAATAAGCCAACCCAAGGAGCATTTGCCACATCTTGGCCCAAGCCCCTCAGTACAAGAGTTAACCAGCAGTAGCCTCTCAGTATTTTACTTCTGTATGTTGGAAATACCTTACTCAATGTGATAACACAGCATGGAAAAAAGTTTACAGCACTTCAGGTGAAGATTCCTAAATTCATTTTTAAATGCAGGATTTTGCACAGAACTAATAAACTGAGCAGGAGCTTGGACATAAATCTTGCAAAAATGCTTGGGGGTCTTCAACAGCCACAAGCTTTCACCGTTCATCTCAAATCTCAGAAGAAAGTGGGCATCTTGACCAGCACTGGACCCAGCTACAAATTCAATGCTCACTTAGAAAACTGCCAGTCACCTTCAGCACTTTGTACTTGCTTAGGGAAAAACATCTCCCACTACCACCAGCATTGCTTCACCTTAGTTTGTGACCCACCACTGCAGCATATGATAAGATGTCCAGCAACAGAGCTGCACCTATGAATTCATGGCATTCAGCAGAGCATTTTAATTGTGCCACTGACTACCCAGCAGGTCTTACTGGTCTGTAGTCCCATTTCATTATCTAGGTTTCAAGGTCACTTTTGGACTCTTGCTACAGTGTAGAAATAAATGTTGTTTCTGTTCCAAAAACAGGAAAGAAAGTGTCCAAGTGAGAACATTCAAAAGCACAGCAAGCCAAAAATACTGGATGAGAGGCTACTTCCCTCCATCCATTAACACAGAGCCCTTGTAGTTGTCAATAGCATGTATGCAACATGAATTACTATAGCGAAATACAGTGTGTTTATTACAATTTCCAGAAAAATATTAATTTAGAACAAGTGTCAAATTCAAGGCTCACAGGACAGCCTTTCTGACAGCCAACTTCAAAACAGTTAAGCAAAGCTGTTAAGTTGCTTCCCACTGAATTTTTAAGGTGGGCTGCCAGATGCACCGGAGATATCAGGAAAGAAGCAGAGAGGAAGAATCCGTCTCAAAAGAGCAAAGAGATGCTACGAGAGCTCCAGGAGAAGATGACATATCTGCAGAATCAGGTAGTCTGATTTCCTCCACTGAAAGACAACACCAGGTCTGAAATATCACTGAACTTGAACCACGAGAAGCACCATACCTGAGTTATTCTCCATAACAGTGTAAATCAATTTGCAAACTCTCAGCAGCAGCATGACTTTCTTTTCAGGTGAATACATTTTCTGCATGGTCATGAACTTGACTTTAATCTTTTCAACGTCCACAAAGTCTGGTGTTGGAACAAACACACCCAGTTCCTGAGGATTCCTCTGCCGCACCAGCTGCAGGTTTTCCTTTAGCTGCTTCCAAGAACCATCTGCAGTGTGAAACTCTTTCAACATTGCTTCAATGTGGCCCTTCAACGGCTTCAGAATGCACTTATGCATGGCCTTCTCCAGAACAACATCTGCAAGGGGAAAACACAAGTCCAGCTGACATCCTCCTCTAGAGTAGAGCCAGTATTAATATAATCATTCCCAAAAGAGACACTGTAGAGCAAAACCTACTTGCTAAGGTCCATTTATTATGCAAGCTGAGTTTCCAGATGTTTATTAACAAGAAAACAAAAGGCAGAGCAGAATCTATATTCCATTTTCATTTATGGCAATGTGGTAAATACAGAAAAACCACACAGACTATAGATTGTTACACCAAAAAAAAAAAAAAAAAGGGCAAAAAAGCAGCAAGCTGTGCCTCCAGTTAACTTTTTTTGTTGGCCAGAAATCTCAAGAGTTCTGTTTTACTTTGAGCTTAGACTTTAACTCCCAAACTTAAAGTGAAACACAGTCAAAACCATAACTTTTGTCTGCTTTGGCATGAAAGCCCATCCTTTTTGCATAGTTTCCATCAGAAACTATAACTCAACCAAAGTCTCCTAAAACTTGGCTGAACTTTGTCAAGATCTTTATGAAGCTTAACAGATTACAGGCTGTAAACTATAAATGAAAACCAAGCCGTGTCTGTCCAGCTTTGGATTTCATCATGCAAGCTTATATAGAGCTTTGTCATCAACTTTGAAGTTCTTTGTTTGGCAATAGTGTGCACGTGGCACAGTAACCACTAACTTCAGGGGTTTTTTTATTCTTGTTCTACTCAAGTTGTTCTTTAACAGTAACTCTCCATTTTCAAAGTATTGGATCACACCAACAGAGAAAGTTCTTTGCTAAACATTTTCTCTACAAACCTTTATTTTATAAGCTAATTTCCTCTCCCACTCAGCATCCCTATGGCACCATAGCTTAATCATTAGCTTACATAAATTCTTTGTACCATAGTTAACTCCTACAAGCACAAAAGAAAGTGGGGACCCTTCAGCTTGGCCACTGCACCAACACCCTGACAGTGGGGCAGGACCAGAGCCTAGAGTAGGCAGATGTACTAGGTGAGCACAGGGACCACGAGCAGAATGAGGAGAGACTGTGTCGCTGCCAGATCACACATTTATACAAGCTAGCAGTGGATATTCCTGCTCGTAGTGGTGACTCATTGAAGTTTCATTAAACCTCATGCCTTTCCAGGTTCTTTGCCTGTTCTTACCTGTTTGTTGGAGTTTTTTGTTTGTTTGTTTGGTTTTTTTTTTTTAAGACCACAGTCTCTTTTCTCTCCACCTTTTCTTTTTCTTCCCCCTTTTTTAATTGCAGACTATTTCTAAGGCTAGGGATTTACACACCCCCCCACACACACACCCCCTCCAAACAAGCATTACCTACTTCTGTTTTCTTCCTTTTGCTTTGTGTTTTTATTTGTTTTATCCTTGTGTTAAGTCATTTTTCCTTTTGGGTCTTCATACCTCTTTTTCCCATACAAACACACCCTTCACACACTCCTCTTACAGTGCCTTTGCTTCACATGTAGCGTTTATTCTGTGTTTGTCTGGCATGCAATTCTCAAATGTCCAACTCTATTGGGAGCTCCCATCTCCCCTACCCCAATTCTGCTGGGGCTCCTGTAGCTTCTCTTGCTATTTTCCCCTCCTGAGACCCTGATGGAGGTAGCAAAGCCATGTCTGCTTCATTCTCGGATGCTTTAAATGCATCTGGGCTCTCTCGCACAGTGGAGACCGCGAAAACTGCTGGAAGGGAGAAAGAGTGAACGTGAGGAGCAGCATTTGCCCTCTGATGTTCTAGACTTCCCTATGGCCACCAGTAAAGGCATAACCAGTCTGACATATGTTCATGATGGCCTGTCACACAGTGTGAGGGGTGGATCCAGTTTCCCACTGAACCAGAGTCACCAATTACATGTAACAAGTGGCAACATTTGAAATGACCAATTCTACTTGGTGGAGCCACACAATCACCACTGACAGTGCTACCACACCCAGTCAAGAAAGGAGAAGCATCACCCTTCTGCACAGTGACAGAAACTGCCTTGCCCTGCCATCAAAGCCATCCTGAGGGCTTATGGGGCAGAAATATTTTTTCCATCAAGAAAAGCACACAAGCCTTACCCATGGGTATGTCAGCTAGCTGAATTTCTAGAGGGTACACACAGTTCCTTGCTAGCTTCACTCTTTCTGACAATTCAGCTTACTTTATTTATTTCTACTGCCTGCTCATTTTTTTAAATAGCAAAAACACCAACTGCTTTGCTTGTAAGCAGAATACCTCTGCAGTTTGCATTCCAACTGCCTGGTTTCGTTTAAGTCAAAATTAAACCCATCGGTGCTGCCAAACATTATGTTAAGCAAGAGAACTCTCTATCCCCATGAAATTTTAACTCCCACAGACTTCTACTGGAAGTTCTGCACATTAATAGTTAGCATCAGCCATCCTTCATCTCAATAAAGCAGGGTCACCACTACATTTGGTCACAGGAGACTCAACAAATTGTAAAGAATTCAGCGTGGATCCTCAGAGCCCTTGGTCTGATAACGAGGCAGCACCTAGCCTGGGATGGGAGATCAGAAAACTCAGTATGCTTTTGTGACTGATCCCTATAGGATCCAGGCTGGAGCTGGTTCAGCTGCTGCCTGTAGTATCAGCATGGAGGGAGCTGCAGAAGCAGTCCCTCCCCAGAATCTACAGGAACTGGATGCTGCCAGGAGGGAAAATTCCTCCATAGAACTCCAGTCCTTGGTTAGGGGCTTGTTATCTGTAGGGGAGAAGTGGAAACTAATTTTTCTGCCCTGAACCCTTATTAAGTTAGTGCCACTCCTGCAGCTTCCTGTACAGACGAATCTCACAGATTTTTACGGCTGTGCAAGATGGTGAGGAGGCATTCTTTCAGATTTGCAATTGGTCACAGGCTCCAAAAGCAGTGCCTGGAAGTTGCTTTGAAATTTATTCAATCACATTCCACAATTTCTTTGGGCACTTAATTCAATTTGAAGCAACAGAGAGGAAGAGAGCAGATAACTCACATGGCTGTGCTCAAAGCTCCGCACAGGGTCCAAGTACTTATTGCTGAAGGCTATTCCTAATGGTGTCCGCGCTCTTAATGTGATCAGGTAAATAAAAACAGGACAGGATATTAAGTAAAGTGTCCTTCAGTGCTGTTGAGTGAGTATATTACAGCTAATAGGAGACAAATGAAATGGAGGACATTTAGCTGTGATTCCAACGAGATACTAACTGCCTTGGCTTGGTAAGGGTAAACTAAGAGAAACTGTCATTTTAATGCAGCATGTCTGCACATAACTAGCCAGCAAACAAGGAAGTGACTAAGATACCACAGAGTGTCCAAGGTTTTTGTTGTTCTAAAACAAAACAAACAACCAAAAAAACCCCACCAAACCAAATAAACCCAAAACAACACACAACCTTTTCTTCCATCTTGTGAAATCTTAGCACAGACCTAAGAACCACAAGAGTTCTGCCCTCAAATTAAAAAGTAGCAAATTCTAGCAAGCTAGTGAGGCCAACAGCATAGCAAAATGGATAAGGACTGGACTTCTTTTTTAATGGTCAATAGTAACACCCATATGTATCCTAATTAATATAAAACCTATATAAATATTTATATTATTATTAAAGCCTGTAAGGACAGCATTTCTTGTGGTCTGGGTCTTAGACCAATATTCAGTGTCACAGGACACCTATAATCATGTTTTGGATCAGATCATTCAACTATTTACCCATTCTTCTCAACTGGCCCCTTTCAGAGAAAGGTGTTTCTGGGTTTGATCCCACAAAACAATTCCCAGCCAGCAGCAGCTTTCACTGTTTAACTTCTAATGGCCACAAAAAAGTGTAGGAGGGTCTCTCAGGAAAATTAGGGTCTAACTTGTGAATTCAGGACTGATCCTTTGCGTTAACATCCCTGTATATTTCTCAGATCCAAATAGGCAACAAAAATTCCCGTTTACTTCAGCATACACCAAGTGTTTTCAAATACCCTCCCAGGACACTCCAAAACCAAAGCATATGCTCTTCAGGTATTTTTTTTTTTTTTTTTTAAATTGAATATCATTTGAGCTGAGCACCATGTACTGTTCCTGAAATGATATTTATTATTAGCCTCTAGCCTCAAAATGGGAACTGGAAATGCTTTGATAAATGAATTGTAAAGGCCAGCCAGCTAGTTTCGTTGTGACTTGTGGAAACACATCTGTATCCTGTGCTGACATTTTATTTTGTTCTGCTGCAAACCACACAAGTCTGCATCTAGAGAGGACAACATATTAGTCATCACCAGTGTCCTTACACAGCCTCTCTACAACCCTCACTGCCTGCAATTGCAGGCGAGCTCTCACCTTTTCCAGGCTGTCAGTTTACTTGTTACTAACTGTTGTTGCTCCACTGAGATTACCCGTCAGATTCCAGTCCCTGGATTTACACACAATCCCTGTTTATCATCTATGATAGCCAAACCGTTCATCAGTAAAAGAAGGGCTCAGTAAAAGACTTGAGCGAGCCTGGGAACCATCACAAAAAGGCACAGTTCTGCACAAGTCACATTGTCTGGAAGGCTGAAAGCAGAAGGTTGCTTTGAAGCACCACAGCTCCTGACACCTGAATACACTGCATTTGCTTTGTTCTGGATTTCCCTAATATCTTGCATGTTCACAGACTGGCATGACTGATATGGACCTATTTTAAGACAACTCATGTCAGGAGGGCCAAGTGTCCAGTTCTTGGTGGATGTCTACAGTAACATATGCTTAGTCCATGGTGCAGACAAGGGCATCTCCTCCAAAGGAGCAAGACTTGAAAGTAAGATGTCACACAACCCACATTCCTTGATAATCTGCACAACCCTTAAAACAGAGGTAGGTCTGAGGAAGGTGATGGATAGGCAGCAATGGCAGAATTTGAACAACTAGGAAAGAAAGGTCTCTAGGGTAAAAACCTTCCCTCGCTTTACGTGCATAATAGACACCAATGAATCATAGAATTATTTGTGTGCTAGGTTTGTTTCACTAATCAGCTGTGGGTTAATTAAAACTCACACTATGGCTGTGTGGTAAACACATCTTTTCTTAAAGAAGTAATAAAGGAGCAGGAAATGAAAAACAAAGCAAATCAAAGAGATGGTCAAGAACTGGAGAACCAAATCCTCTGCCTCTGCCCAGTGCCTTTAGCACTGCTTCTTACGTGTTCTATCCCCCCACTCCCACAGTAAGAGGAGCACTGGGGAACATGTTGGTCAGCCTCAGCTCAACATGAAAAGATACTAGGATGAATGATGGAGTAGGGTGACAGGACACCAAAATAAATATACAAGCACCTTAAAAAGTAACACAGTGCTAAAAAAAGCCAATACGAGTTTTTCAAGAAGAAATAGTAGCAAACCATTCTGATTTCTTTAAGAGGTTAATTGGATCAGTGAAGAAGAGGGGAGTAAGAGGTGGGCTGTATCTTAACCTTTTTAAGACCCATAACCCTATTCCATGCAACTTTCCTATAAGCAAACAAGGGAAATACTGTCTTGCTGTAATTACCATAAGGTGAGTGCATGAACAGGTGCATAAAATACTGCTGTGAGAGCCCAATTATCAATGGTTGACTGTCAAACAAGAGAGATATTTGAAAAGAGGTACCATGGGGGTCAGCTCAGGGCTTTAGTCTATTCTAGTATTTTCATTAAAAATTTGGGTGATAAAGCAGAGAGTTCACGTACAAAATCTGCATGTGATAGCATGGTGGGGGTGGGAGAAGGGCATCACCAGTCCATTGCAGACCAGGTTTAAAAGTTATCTTTGTAAGTGGGAAACAGGCCTAAAGCTAACATGATAAAGTCTTGTAAGAACAAACGTAAAACGTTGCTTCTCAGCAAGAGGAATAGGAAGGCAAAAGCACTGCTCAGAGAAGCCCTCTGGCACACCGGCTCCCGGAGGGAATGGACTACACTCCTCCATGGAGCCTCCAGCTCTGTCTGCCTGCAACTCCTCCACAGAGACCAAGGTCACTGTGACAAGGCATGTCCTGCCAGTAAGGGGCCAACACCTTCTCTCCAAGCCTCTTATTACACTCAAGATTTAAAAATCCGTTATGCATTAGCCAAAGCAAATAACAAGCAGTATCATTCAGGCACCTTCCCACATGATCAGTTAATATTGCATCCAGTTCTGAGTCCCCCAACATAAGAAGGACATGGACCTACTGGCGCAAGTCCAGAGGAGGTCATGATGATGATCTGAGGGCTGGGGCACCTCTCCTATGAGGACAGGCTGAGAGAGTTGGGGCTGTTCAGCCTGGAGAAGAGAAGGCTCCGGGGAGATCTTACAGCGGCCTCCCAGTACCTGAAGGGGCTGCAAGAAAGCTGGGGAAGGACTTTTACAAGGGCAGTTAATGACAAAACAAGGGGAAATGGTTATAAGCTGGATGAAAGTAGATTTAGATTAGATCTGAGGAAGAAATTCTTTCCTGTGAGGGTGGTGAGACACTGGCACAGGTTGCCCAGAGAAGCTGTGGATGCCCCCTCCCTGGAAGTGTTCAAGGCCAGGCTGGATGAGGCTTTGAGCAACCTGGTCTAGTGGAAGGTGTCCCTGCTCATGGCAGGGGGGTTGGAACTGGATGACTTTTGAGGTCCCTTCCAAACTATACCATTCTACAATTCTGTGATTGCCAAATTATTTAAACCAGTCATTTCTTCGGCTAGGCCCAGATTTGGGCATTGAGACTGGAATTGTTCAGGTGTTAGATCCCGCCTGGTGATCACCTGGCAAAGCCATGACAGTCAACTTGACTCCTTTCTGTTCACAGACAAAAGAAGAAACACAAACCAAAACTCCTGAACATTTGCTATTTAAGCAGCTGTGGACTATCAGAGTCTCCTCTGACTAGTCCAGGTCTTTATTTTGTGAATACATATTCAGGTATGGACAACTTAAAAAAAAAAACAACTTTGCATTTGTGCTTAAACAATGAAAAGCCTTGTGCCTTTGTCTTGATTCTGTCCCATCACTGGGAATCCTATTGTTTCAGGAAGGGTTAACAGCCTAGAGTGCTAAGATTAGGAGGCACCTGTTGGGAATAATTAGAAAGGCTGATGCACATTCTCCCAATGATCTGGCACGAGTTAAACAGTTTGATATGCACACTGCCTGGGAAACTGAAAAGATCTCTCACAGAAGCCTTTTGCTTCCAAGAGTCCGAGAAGTCCATGATGCAGTTCCACAAGAAAAGCTATGCTATCACAAAGATCATTACACAGACACAGGAGAACGTCCCAAACACCAAGGGCTTCGCTAAGCCTGGGGTGAGGGGGGTGTGTGCTGCTCTAACACGTACCAAAATTCAGGAGACAGCAGTGGGATAAGGTGAAGCCCGGCTGCCCCAGAACGGGTTACTGGCAGCAGCAGTTCTACTAGGTGGGAGATGGAGGTGAGGACTGGCTCCAGCTCCCCTCCGCAGAGGCAGGAGTGGCCCATGGAGCTGAGAGGCCTGACCATTTTCTGCTAATAGGCTCCCTCCCTACCCCACTGGCACCAGCAGCATGGTCCCAGTCGCAGGGTGAAGCTGCTGCCTCTTCCTGCAAGTCCCTGGCAAGGCACAGCCGCTGTGGCTCACTGACTTGGCAGCCACCAGGCCTGAGCAGAGCCTCTGAGCTCCGACACCGACTCGCCATTGCCATGGGACGGTACACAAGAGAAGTATTTTCCCAGCAGCACACACCCAGCCCTAAGCTGACACGTTGAGAGGAAAAATCTGCACCATGAAAGCATAAACCGACAGGAAAGGATAAATGACTACCCACAAAGTTAAAATTCGGGCTGCAATTCCGTACTGAAATAGTCAAACAAGACTGCGGATAATAGGCAGGGCTACATCATAAGAAGGTCTCGATAGGGATGACTAAATCTTGCTGTCACATAGTTATCTGCTTAGATCAGCAACATCTGATGCTCCTGATCCACTGTGGTTGTTTGCAGGCTCAAGCCATAGGCAGTAGATGATTCAAAAGCAAGTTCTTCCTTTGTTTAAATTATGCTCCTTTATAAATTAATTGCATTTAATCATATTATCAAAGCCAGACTTTCTGTCACTGAAGAAAACCAATGTAGTTATTACATTTCATAGCTTATGCTACTCCAAACTACTGAAACATTTGAAAGCAGACAGCATTTTGCCAGTCTTCAGAGACTCACAGGCCAGTTCAACCACACCCTTACAATGAGAAGTACAAGTCAAACTGAGCCTTCACAAAATTACAAGCAAACTAGATCTGTATTTCTTTGTTAAATATGCAGTACTCTGCAGAAATCGAGACAAAAATGCGTCTGCACCACTGCTCAATTCACCGTTTCTTCTTCCACATAACGCCCACAAAATATTCTTTATTATTCTAGTGAGAACATTACATGTCTTTGAAAGAGTCTCGATTTCAAGGACACTCTTTGTAGTGTCATATTTGCTTTAGCAGTGCTTGTTACTTTTGCTTGACTTTGCACAAATGAAGTCGAGGTTATGTGAGAATACTTCCTCTTGGTCAAGGACAGACAGAAACGTCAAAATAAAATCACCCTCTAATCCCAGAGAAAGAACTATCTGCCAATTTCGCACTGGGCCAACTGTTGTGACACTGGGGTACAGGAGAAAAACAAGCAAACTGGGACTGAAGTGAGCTCACAAGGAAAGTATTCTGCCCTGAGGGATGTTTACCTCCTAAATGTGGCTTATAGACTCTTTTACAAATACTGCTTAGACTCGGCAAGATAGAGGAGCAGTGATATTTTATGCAGCAACAATGATTTCACTTTTGTGGATACACAAGTCCCTCTCTGTTGTTAAAACATGTATTCAAACATATAGCTCATCTGCAACCATTTATAAACACATACATGTAACAGAGGTATAGAAATCCTGAGATTTGCGGCCCCTTCTCTCTTGTACACATTTCTTCATTTTTTAAAACTCTTACACATCTTTTTTATTTAGCTTCAAGTGTAGGGACAGTGCAGCTTTGCTAGGATTGAATGAGAATGTTTGGAAAAATTAGATTTATTTCAAAAGTAGGTTTCTATGAAATGTTTCTCTGTTCTTAACTGGCACTGGTTTCAAATAAATTCTAGTTTTACAGCTATGATCCATACGGTTAAAATTAGCACGGGTCTAAGCAGTAAGAACTATTTCAGCCTAATTCAGAGAAAAACATACACGTTCCAGCAAATAAAGGATGCTGTATTGTTAACAGTACAGCAGCTAAAAAAAAAAAATAATAATCACGGGTAAAAAGTCCACATTGCAGCTGTTTTAAGGATAACTTTTTATGAACAAATTTGTAGCACAGTCTTTCCGAGTTGCTAGAGTGACTGGGGGTGGGGTTGTTTTGTTTTAAGACTCAAATGCTGAATAGCTCGAACTCTGCTAGCTAAATCAACCCCACCTTTTCAAACTGGCACAAAGACTATCACTATGAACACAGATTACATGTTTTCACCTTCCCCCAAAACACAGGACAGTGTTTCTTACCTATTTGGTCCTCGGGAATCAGCGATTCAATTGGGGGATCAAGTTCAGAGCTTTGGGACAAATAGTTCTTGACTTGGGTCATGAACTGACGAATGGTTTGCAGCATATCGGTGCTTGAAACATGGCACTCCTTGTTTTCCTGAAGAAAGCTGACATAGTCCTGCACCAGGCATCCAAAATAAGTGCGTTTGTCCCGGGACATCTCCGCAATTTTCTTAATCATTCTCTTTTCGGGGGTCATGAAGGAACTGAAAACTCCACTGACTTTCCGTAGCTGAGATTTCACAATCTTGGGGAGAACAAACGAACTGTTTCTTTTCTTCTTGGGCTTCAAAGGGGGTGCCATGCTTTCTTGGTCACTTTCCCCTTCAAAATCCTCCAGGCTGCTGTTAGTGTCCCCCTCATAGCCAAACAGCGGCATGCTCCGATCGAAGTCCAGCGAGTCAGACGAGGAGGTGGAAATGCTCATGTCGCTCAGTCTCTGCCTGCCTCCATTCCACGGTCTGTGTGACTCAGAGCTGGTAGCTACCGTCTTTTTGGCAGCTGCTGGAGCTGGCTCAGGCGGGGTTTCACCTGGAATGCCAGCAGCTTCGGGCACACACACCGAGCTGCAGTCAGGTCGAATTGGTGTGGTCTTTGCGCTACCTTCCACCTCTGAACACACAGCCTGCTTCTTCAGCCGAGGAGGCGGAATAGGGGTTGGTTTATTCTGCAGCAAATCCAAGCTTCTCTCTTTCTTATGGTTGACTGTTTCTGGCATGCTCGCCTGCTTTATAGTCCTGGAAAGCTGTGGACTCGTGAGGATGCTATTAATAGAAGGAGGTGGCGGCCGGGGAGGAGGGGAGCGAGGCCTCGCTGTGCCATTCAAGTCTTGAGTTCTCGGGCTCTGCCTTTTCAGACTTCCACTGACATCCTGGCTATGCACTTTTAAGAAGAGAGGATTAATGAAACACAGCGCTCCGTTGGTCTGGCTGCACTCCAGCTCCGAAGGCGTTCTGGTTCGTATAGAATGCACTCCATTTATAAGGCAGAGCTGACGCGAGTCTTTACAAGCACTGTCCAAAGGCACAGGCCTACGGGGAGGTGAAGGATCCAGGGGATTGCTGTTAGACGGAGAGCTCCAAAAGTCTGAAAATCATCATTGCATTAACATAAGAATGCAAACCAGCACACAGATAGCTTTCAGAACATTCAGCTCAACATCCCCAGTTTCAAGTATTAAGAAATTTACACAAGCCTTTATTAATTCAAGGGGGGGGGAAATTCCAAGTGAACCTCTTAAAGCACCACCAGACATAACTGCATGCTACACTCCTAGGGCTGCTCCTACTCATTTATCAATATCATGACCAATGCACAGCTTCAAATCAGCTCACTGAACCAAGCTTAAAAATAAACTGAGAATCAAAGAAAGGAATGGAGACTAACACTATAATTCTTATCATCTTGAGATTGAAATGAACATAAACTACTCACTAGCAAATCACTCAAGAGAAATAAGCCCAGATTCTCAGCTGGTATTAATAACTTTACAATTTGCACGAGCTGATGGCCTTTTATGGCAACTCAACAAAAATTGTGGCTTAGTTTCTTTTGATAGCAAACAAAAGAAACTACACATGAAAAGACAGATCACATTTTGCTGTGGTGGGTGCACACATAATCTTTAGCTACGCAGGCCAAATGCTCACGTCTCTAAGAGCACTGGCCTGCAGCCCTGCCTTTGCAATGATGACACAATTTGCCTGAGGTTTTAGATGCTCAGCAACACATAAATAGACTGAATGTGCAGTCCCACACCAGCAGTGTGGAAAACCTGGGCTAAACTAGCAAGTTTCAGCTGCATCCTCTGCACTTGTCCCAGCAAAGCGTCAGCATGTTTGTGAAACTGAGTCAACAATAAAACCTATCAGCTCCTGAAACTGTGAAGACTGAAACCAGACAAGTCCTTGAGGAACAGCAATCAGACTGAAATAAGGGATGAATACCAGAGGAGGGAGATTCTGCTAAAATTTGCCAATCTTGACATGGCCTCTTTTCCTGTAGTGTCAAGATGCCTCATTTGGGCTATTGAGCAATGACACCTGGGCCAAATTGCATGAATGCCAAGCACTCCACAACAGGGTGCATGGCAGCTGTGTCCTGCCCACAGGGCAGAAAACAGGAAATAGCCCCTGGTGATGGGCCACTGCCAGAGAACATATGTAGGCACAGACATATTTCTCTGCATAGTCATGCAATGCTGCTGGTATTTTCCAGCTCCGTGACTTCACGTCCTGCCTGCAGATCTCTCAGCAGACCGGGCAGCGTGCCTGGCATGTGAGCTGTTACAAACACACATGATGCAAGCACTGCTGCAGGTGAAACAAGAGAGACAGACAGGGATTCTTATGTTCAGCACATGAAACCTTAAAGGTTAGCCATTAGCCTTGAAACCTTTACCGACAGTTCTTCCTGATGTGGTTTGCTGGGCTACATGCTGCTGACCCATCTCGTGCAGTTCTCCCACCGAGCCCATGGCGTAACAGAGATCTGACAGGAGCCATAACCCTTCATATTCAGACCAGGGTGTTTTGTACCTACATGGTCCTTAAGGAAAGGTCACACTTAACCAGAAGAGCCCTTGGGAGCTTTTAGGCATCTCTTGGGTCTACAGTTTTAAAGGGCTGACTTCCTGGTGTGCTCTTTTGCACGTGGATACTTAAAACTCCATTGAAATCTCAACTTGGTTGTCTGACTTTTGCTTGCAGAAACTGATCTTCATCTGGTGTATAGTAGGTAACTGATTGCAAATACACCAACCTCACACTTAGAAACTGATCCATCAGTCTCCTTTTCAGCTTTCAAATGTATTAGCTTAAAGAAACACAACAGAATGTAGAGATACTGTTCAAGAACAAGACTAACTCTGCAGCAAGTAGGCCATGGTGCTCTCAGGTACCAAGCACAAAGAGAGTGTGGTTAGTCTGGAGAGCTTGCTCACCATCATTATTACCTCCTATGGAAAAATTCAGCTAATGTTACTTCAAGGCTTCCAGGTATCACTGGGAGACTGTCTTCACTACACTGTATCCCAAATCAGACTTTTTTTTTTTCCCTTTTCCATCCAAACATTCACCTCATCAACAGTTCCATGTTTGCCTTTTCCCATGATAATCTATACTTTCATCTAATAAGCAGATAAGCAGTGCAGAAGTAATTTGTCTCATCTCTAAAACAAACCCCTTAATTGCATTGCTACTGCAACAAAACAAAATGCAAAGCACTGCAATACTACCCTGTGTATGCCTTTGCTGAAAAGTCCCACCAAATAGTTGTAGAGAGCCTCATGCAAACAACTGTGATCCTTTGAGTGAGGATCTGTGTCTAAATAAAGATGATTCAAAAAAAATCTACTGGGACAGAGACTGCCAACAGTCCACCCTCCCTTCCTGCAAAAGGAAATGAGGCCATTCAGCACTTAGCACGAGTTGCTCAACAATTCATCTGAGTGGAGCCCACATTTCAAATCCCACCAGGCTTTGCATCTTCTGCAAACTCAAGGTACGTTTTACAATGAGTCTGTATTTGGTTGTAGCAGTCAAGTGATGCAAGTACGTGCCCTTACATTTTCTTCTGTTATTTTCAGAATTTCACCAAAAAATGCACATGGATACATTCTGCAGATCTTATGTACCTATCCCTCCTTTTATTAATATGCTATCACATGGAGCCACTGATCTCAAAAATCCCATGTCAACCTGAATAGAAGTTTCATTAACAGTGAACCTCAGTTCCTACCCTCTCCTTATCAAGCTAGTGCCTGCTATGTGAGCCCACAGCCAATATTAGCCCTTGGAGGAAAATTTACACCAAACCTCTGTCTGGGGATTTCAAGAATTGCTTTGCCCAAGGACTGCCCAGAGCAGGGAGAGGAGAAGGAAGGAAACAGCACTAACAAAAATAGCACAGAAGGCACAGAAGGAAGATCACCAAGGTCACCATTTGGCAAGTACACGGTTTGGCCTTCCCAATAAGAAAAGCTGCTTTTTAAAATGAAATCTGTATCATTAGTGACCAATATGAACTACTTACTGATACACACCATTTCTTCAAGCTTACAGCAATGCTAGAGTGAATGACATCCATGTAGAGAACTACTTACTCAGTCCAAGCTGAGCAATCTCTTCAAGTTCAGCTTCTGTCTTTGCTGCAGCAATAGCATGAGGCAACTTCAGGGTGAATGGAAGGACATCTCTGTTGTCAAAGAGAAAAACAATTATGTTTTTCACAGCACCACCCGTAGTTCTAAAAGCATTTGTTTTCAACACTGGCAGTGACTAAGTTCTGATTCTTACTATCTTTTTGCACTGTGGCAGGTAGCAAGAGCCCTAAACACACAGCACATGCTGAAAACATTACCAGTCCCAGGGCTCCTTTACATTGGAGTGGTGTGAAGTGCAAATGACAGTCAAGTCTCCAGGACTCTCTTTAGGCTCATTTCCACAGAGCCATCCACTCCTTCCTCCCATTACAGCAGAAGCTTTTACATCTGGGTCTTTTACAAGCATACCAGTGAGATGCAAAAGTGTTGTCTGTCCTTAACCCTTCATTGAAGATTCTTATTTTCTGAATACACTTGTTGGTTGCTCTCAAAGTTGAATTTCACTTCTCAGAATAAAAATTTAAATGAGTACTTGGGTAGCTACCCTAAAAATTTCTAAACTAGAAGGTTGTGGTGCTACTCTGTCCTAAGCTGAAAACACACTTCATTTAAGAAAGTCTTTGTAATTTATTCTCATATGTGTTTTCTCTTCACCGCATATTAGAAGATCAATGAACGTTGACAAACAGAGATGCATGAACGACAACATAAGCAAATCCAATGCAAAAAGCTTTTCAACAGAGATTTTAAGGGATGAAACTACTTACATTGTATGAGTACTACCATCAACCAATACCAGACCTCTTGCCTGCCCAATTGGTTCTGACAAACAGAATCACAGAATGTCAGGGATTGGAAGGGACCTGAAAAGATCATCTAGTCCAATCCCCCTGCCAGAGCAGAAACCTAAAGGAGATTACACAGGAAGTGCACGCTAAACTGAAAAAATCTGTCGTAGAAGCACCTATGTAATCAAGAGTAAATAAGAACAAATGGAGCACAAGAATCCTACATAAAACTAGTGTCAGCAGATTACTTTTTTCTTTTTAAAGGCTGTGAACAAGCCAACCATCTACTGTAGCACAGACAGATAGTGGGGTTTTATCACATAAATATTCTGTATGTCATATGTTAACTTGTTGAAAAAACAAGATCTTGGAACACCACTCAAATTCAAATCAAGCATATGCACAAGATTGATACACTTGCTAAGAAGTATTTGAAAAGACACTTTCAACGTGGTACCACAGATAATCTAGAGACTAGAACATCATCATGGACTCAATACAAAGATGGGTAACTCTTGACTCCTCACACAAACTGACTATCTACTGCAAGAAATTCCCTCTGGGTGAGAGCCCACCTGCAGTTCTGCATCCAGCTCTGGAGTCACAGAATCATGAAATGGTTAGGGTTGGACCTTAAAGGTCATCCAGTTCCAACCCCTCTGCCATCAGCAGGGGTACCTTCCTCCAGACCAGGTTGCTCAAAGCCTCATCCAACCTGGCCTTGAACACTTCCAGGGAGAGGGCATCCACAGCTTTTCTGGGCAACCTGAGTCCTCAGTACAGGAAAGATGTGGACCTGATGGAGTGGGTCCAGAGGGCCACAAAAATGATCAGAGGGCTAAAGCACCTCTCCTATGAAGAAAGGCTGAGAGAGTTGGGGGTATTCAGCCTGGAGAAGAGAGGGCTCCAGGGACATCTTATTGCAGTCTTTGAATACTTAAAGGGGGCCTGTAAGAATGATGTGGTGAACTTTTTAATAGGGCCTGTAGCAACAGGACAATGGGTAATGGTTTCAAGTTAAAAGAGGGTAGATTTAGACTAGATATAAAGAGGAAATTTTTTTTACAATGAAGGTGGTGAAACACTGGCACAAGTTGCTCAGAGAGGTGGTAGATGCCCCCATCCCTGGAAACATTCAAGGTCAGGTTGGGTGGAGCTTTGAGCAGCCTGCTCTAGTGAAGATGTCCCTGCTCACTGCAGGGGGGTTGGACTAGACAACTTTAAAGGTCCCTTCCAACCCAAGCCAAAAAAAGGAAAAAAAAAATAATCAAAGAGTGAGCTTCATTTACTGAAATCTCTGGACAAGTTTGCAGCTGAAGCTGTATTTATGACTCGTATCTGTGGATGGATCTGCAGCTTAAGCTGTATTTAAGAAGATGCACCAGGAAAGCTTTAACACCATGTCTAAGTTGCAGTCACCACTCTTTTCACTTCCTTCCCCTTCCTCAAAGGGCAAGAAGAAGAAGAACAGGTCAATAAACAGGTGAAGACCCTGGTTATCCAGTTTTGTATGTGCTTCGTGAATGGGAAGCCTGACTGCATCACGATATTAAATTTACACTTGGCTGAGTGAAATACATTTAAGAAAATTAAAGGCACTTTGCAGAGAGAGACTCTCAGTTATGAGACTCAGGAGCAAGGCAACAAGCTACTGTCTGTTTGTGGGCTTACTTTCAGCAAACGTGAAACGACTTGGAGCCTTCAGTGAAAGAAAAGGGTTGAACAAATGCAAAGAAGTGAACATTTGCTTAATGCTCCCTGTAGGCACTGAAGAGAGAATCTACCAGAGCCTAGCTAGTGTGCAGCACTGAAAGGTTGACAAGGTAAGGAATCTCACATCATTAAACTGCTTTTAAATGTAGTTTCAGCTCATTTCTCATCTGAGTGCTGACCAACTATTCATGATATAAATGCTTCTTTCAACACATGCCTGTAACAAAGGGGGTCTAGTTGTTTCTCCACCACAAACAAAAGCAGTAAGCACAGCAACTTAAGTGCATCCCTAGTGAGCATTTCCCACACCAGAAATCACCACTGTCAGCACTAATTGGCAACCTCATTGCAGTAAAAGGACCAAGACCATCAAAGTTGCCTCTTCCTGTTTCCTTCAGAAAATGTGCAGATGTGCAGTTTGACTGTGACCTGTCTGTGGATAAAGGCAAGGCTTGAGCATCAGTCTGGAAATTTTCACCAGTAAACTAAAGTCAAATTGAACTGAACATAACTTAAAGGATAGAAAACACCAGCTATTTATCTCTGCATACTACCCGAAAAAATAAACTCGAAAGCTGATGAGGCCATTTTTGTTGTTTGCAATTTACATTCACATCTCTCAGTTATCATATTCTACAGTGTGATCTGACATTTTTTCATTATACTCCAAAGATGCTTTTTACTAGCAATTCCAAGAATTGGACATTGCAAGATAGTTTATGGTGCTTATTAAATGAATTACAGAGCAGTCAAAAGAGCATTACAAGATATCAGCTAAAGTAAAGTTTAACGTGGCAACACCTCACAGCTGGGCAGGTAACGTAACACCAGCCTTCCAATAACCAGTACCAAATAAGACAGACTTGTTTCCAATTCTCATCTCTTGTTTTTCTCATGACATTCTAAGACTACCCAAGAATATCTGTAGATTGGCAACATAAATATTATGCTGAACCAAGTCCTTGAGACTCTTTTTTTCAAGACAGTCTAGCAAAAGCAACTCAGAACATAACACCATCTTACCTGCTAATACAGTAGAAAGCAATGAGCCTGAATAAATCAGCAAAACTTATTCCAGACCCCTCCAAGGAAAACGCTGCAAAGAAAGTTACAAGAGGGAAAGAATTACACATCTATCCACCATTTCTTAGAAAAGCTAAACAAAATGCATCTCAGATTTTTGCATAAAATTAGTAAGTTTGCACCATCAAACTGGCTACTGTTTGGTTAAGAGATAGCAACTGTGTGGAGGAGGACGTGTCTCTGCTAAAAACATTTTCAGCAATGTACTGTAAGTCTTGGTGGTGGTTTGTTTTTGTATTCCAAACTTATTGTCTATTCCTGGGAAACAGATCAAGTGTGATTAAAATTGCACAGTGTTTTGCTAATAGACAATAAATCAATAAGTGACAGTTTGTTTGCCTAGTGTACTAATATACTTAATTTTAAATCTCTTATTTCCTCCTCTTGCATTCCATCCTACTCACTTGTCTTCTCCCCAGATGTGTTAGCACCTAATGGGAGATGATAAATTTTCATTCACTTCAAGAAAACCACTTAACGTGAAAACTCTTTAAAAAAAACCTCAGACAACTCTGTTTTGTGTCATTGCCTTGCACAATGGAGGAAGAAGACACAAGCAATGCCTTTCATTTTTTCCCCGCTCCATACCATTGTTTCTTAGTGATATAAATACTCACTCACAGTAATAACAACACAGAAATTATTGCCACCTCACTTACATTAAGCTCTCTACAATTCCAGTGGCAAGTCTCGCCTCATGACTACCTACAAAGGCCAAGTAGAAGAAGCTCCTAGAGTGAAATGATCTAGATCTTTTTTCTCTGGACATGACTGAGACCAGAACAGAAGGAAGAGCATTTATGAAATATAACAGTAGTGTAAGACGGGTTCCTGAAGTACACCAATGCCCATCTCTTGCAGCCTTGGACGACTTCTACAAAGGGGCAGATGTGATTACAGACTGTACACAGACACACTGACAAGTCACAGTACAGTCTGTGATTTGCCCAACTCGGAAAAGCCTGATCACAGGGGTGAATCTCTTGCTGGTGCGGTGCACACACTGTTGCTGTTTCACCAGCAGAGGAATGCTTTTGAAATTCATCTCCCAAGGGGAGCGCTTCCACTGCTGCAGCATCTAGACTGAAACAAGGCAGACCCCTGGAGGAAAGCCAAAAGCCACACAGCAGCTTTGGATACCTCAGCAACACCTCTCAGTGAGCAGTGAAGATGTAATTTTGTTCGGAGTCCATGCTGTAAGGCCAGCACCACCCTGCCAAGGTTCCAGAGCTACTGACTATGAAGTCTGCACATGAACCAGAGGAAAACTTAAGTCAGGTACTGATTTTTTTATCCAACCCTTACAGTAACTGAAGGACAGGTCAATATGGCCATTTATGTGCCCACATAAAAAGACATTCCTTTAAGAGAGACACTAACAATGCAGACAGTAAGCTCTCAGGTGATCTGGGGGCAGGGCTAAGAGAAGATGAGTGTTCAGATCCCTGACTACAATTAAAACTTCAGCTATGACTGGTGAGTAAAAACATCAGTAGATACTTCCCCCTTGTGGTAAAATTTTATTAATGAAAGACAATTTTATTATTATTTTATTTTCTAGATGGGACAAAGGGAATTCATTAGTATAACAAGCCTACAAACACAGCCTTGGATCACACTTAGATCAACTATCAAGAAGTTTCTCTTCTATTTGCTGTGCCTTGTTTTTAACTGGAACCAAAACCAGACACGTAGAATTAACTTTTTATTGCTGGGGGTGGGGAAGGGAGAGATAAAAAGTAAAAACTCAACTAAAATTACCTCAGTTTACTAACAGAAATAGAAGTTAACTACAGACCCTCTGCTTCAGGGAAGTTTAACTGGAATTGTTGAAAATTTTCTCCAGTTTTCACTTCACTGTTAAAATGAACCATTTGCTCCACTTGCAGTTTCTGCACCACAAACACTCAATAGTTGCGGCCTCCTTTTTTTCGTTCCTGTATCTCAAACTATTTTTCACACCCTCCCTCTGAAGGGATGAGGGCAGTATTGTGTCAAAACTAACTGGAACTCTAGCATTTGCTCATTCCTATTACAAAATAGGGAACAAATATAGTTGGAATTAAAAATAAAAACAGTTGATCTCACATAAGAAACAGTTCCAAAGGGTTAAAATCCATTAGTTATTACATAAAAACCCAAAAAAACCCACAATTGAAAAAACAAAACGCCACAAAACAACAACACAACCAAATTAGTAGACAGAGAGAGAGCTCGTGACATGGTTGCATCCAAGAACAGTCCCGAGTACTAGGAAATGCAAGGACATTTCACTGATAGCAGACAGGATTATAAACAGTGTTTCTACAGAAGGAGATAACTATCCATAATAATCAATGAAACCTGGATTCAGCAAGGTACATAAAAAAATATTCCAGTTGTGTGCAGCACAGACATAAGCGTTTCTGTACACCTTTCTCTCTCCAGGATATGCCTGACCCACTCACAGAGCCCTCCAAAGAGCACTGTAGGCAGTCTGTGACATGACTTTGGATATCTTCTGCCGTGGGTTTCGCCAATGCAGGGTGTTCCTGGCTCATACAGGATGACAAAAAGCTGAGAAGTATGTAACTCACAACTTACTGTATGTGCTTTCTTTTATTGCAAATTCTTTTAGGCAGGACCCAGAGTCATTGGGCAGACGCAGAGATATGACTTTCTTCTGCAGCCTCGCAGATTTCCTAACCAGAAATATCTGTTGTGGAGAAGGCAAAAAAACATGGTTTTAGCTTCATCACAGATGCCTTAATAGAGACAGATTAGAGACAAACGGAACCAGAACAACTTTATGATCTCTGATTTATATAAAACGTCTCAGAATTTTACTCGGTCGTTACTGTATCAGGTCCAACAGCTTGTTGCAAAATGGCAGCAGAACATTTAGAAAAGTGTCTCATCCTCATATAACACAGACACATGACACCAAATACATTATGCCCTTCTCTGAGCTCTCCAGTTTAACACCCAGCAAATCCCAAGCCTTGAGTCAAGCTCCAGAGAGCCTGGAGGAGACTGGTGGTGGAGTGCTCCTGTGTCCCACCAGCACATTCATGCGATCCTTCTGCACCAGGATGGAGGCAGCATTAAAAACATGCCATTAGCCTCATCCAAGCAGACAGGACCTTGTTTCCATCATAGCAACTTTAATGCAAGCACCAGAGAAGGATAAAATGCTGGTGTTTCCCATTTATCTATTGCTTTCTCGTTAAGGAGGACATACATCCATTACATGCAACCCTGGTTAGCAAGGCTCAGCTTTGGAGCTGTAATTGTCACAGTCTAGTTCTCAGTTCCAGAGGACCCCAAACTAGTCCCCCAGCATATCAGCCCTCAGGATATCAGCCCAGTTAATGGGTCACACTCCAACTGGTCCAGGTGCCAAGCGCTCAGGAAGCCCTCACTTGGATTATCTGAAGCACAGAAGAAATGGAGGTGGGACTGTTGGTTGGTTGATTTGGTTTTTGTTTGTTTGGGTTTTTTTGTTTTGTTGTGCTGGTGGTGGTTTTTTGGTTGGTATATAAAAATTATTTTTTAAAAACACTCACATCAAATTAACTGAAATACAACTTCTTACCCCAGGAGGTTGGGCCTGAAGAATTCCCACGGCTTCAGCATTATTCAGACCAAGCTGCAGCCACACAGGGTGAGTATGGAGGAGTTTGTCCAGTATGCTTAGCTTGTTGGATAGGCTATCATATCCAGAATCCCGGGGGCAGCTTTTTACATCATTTTTCTCAGGAAAGACATTATCCATGTCCTTTACTAGACTGTGAAAAAAGGAAAAAAAAATAGACATACTAACCTCCTATAGACAATCACTCAGTTGAGCAAACAGTCATCACAAAGCTAATGGCACTGCTGGCACCCTGGACTGGTATTTCTCCTACTAAGAATTCATATAATTAATATACGCAAAAATTCTCTTATCCATAAGATTTCTCTCTTTCTTTTGTCCTCAATTTAACAGCTAGCTTTAAGATAAGCCTTAGCATTCTTCTATTAGCTTGTTGAAATCACTTCAGATACAGGTGTATATGCATACATGATTGATTGGACTTTTCACCTTCTTTCTTCGTTATGTTCACATTTGGGAAAACTTCTGTTCAAAGGTATTTGTTCAATTCAGACATTTTTATTCTGAGATAGATTACAAAAGCTGCAAGCCACAGAAAACTTCCTGTGTCCTGCCTGCCAGAAAGATATGTTCAATACTCTCACAATGGAGCAACCCACTACCTGTTGGTGATCACTGCAAACACGAGCACTCTCTCTGTTCACTTGTAGGGATTATTTGCACAACAGAAGCCCACAAACTAGCATGACTTTATCTTATTCCCAGGCTACTGTGTCTGCTCCACCAGCCGCGTCATCCTCATAGCTGTATATCCATCTTTGTTCCCCTCTGCTAACGAGTGGTCAGAGACCTCACTCAGAAGAAAAGAAAAAAGAAAGGAAAGAGGGGAAAAAAAGAAGAAAAAAATTAAATCCCTCAAATAACCCTCTCTAAGGCACAGCTTCTATTAAGAAATTGTCCTAAGTAGCAATATTTTTTATGGTCCACACTAAATTCTCTAAATATTTACATTTTTGCTATTTTGCCATGGAAGGTCCTTCACATTTAGGTACTACACTTCCCAGGATGAGAAGCAAGTGCTCCTAATTCCTTTGGATCGACTCTTGTGCAAGGAATAAAGGCTAAGTTAAGTGTGAGCGTGGCATAATAATGTAAGGTTAAA